TGGAACACACAAAGTGGGTTCAGGATTGCGTCTCTTGCACATTCTCCTACGTTAAGCAGAGTTGATATTTCTGGGAAGCGTCCTTGCCCCCTGGTAGAGGCTCACCTGTAGCCTGGCTGTCTTCCTCTTGGGCACCTGCCCCTGCTCTGACATCACCTGGCCCAACCTCCCCAAGGGATAGGCAAGGTGGGCAGAGCAGGGTGGCGTCTGCTGGGCACTCAGGCAGTGCCAGGCTTTGTGAGGCTCTTCTTCTGCTATTTCATTTAAAAGTGATAGTCATTGGTCTGAAAACCTCAAGGTCTCGGTGTTGTTCCCATTTTTATAAACAGAAACAAAGACTCAGAGAGGCTAGGGGACTTGTTCAAGCTCACAAGACCAGTAGATATTGGGGTAAAAAGTTGACTCTCCTCTTCCCTACGCTCAAAATCTGTGATGATTCACATTCCACACAATAGCTGTCAACTAAACTTCATATTCATTTAAAAACTAACTTATCCTGGGGCTACTGTGGCTACTCTGTGAATAAAGCTACTGCTTGCTACAGCGGCATCCTATATCAGAGTGCCAGTTCAAGCCCTGGCTACTCTGCTTCAGATCCAATTTTTGGCTAATGCTGTTGGGAGGGCAACAGAAGATGGCCCAAGTGCTTGGGCCTCTGCCACCAACATGGGATGCCAGAATGGAGTTCCTGACTCATGGCTTTATCCTGGCCAGACCTGGCTATTGTGGCCATTTAGGAGAGTGAAACAGTAGATGAAAGATCTCTCTCTCTCTCTCTCTCTCTTTCCCTCTTTCTCCTTCTCTCTCTCATTCTAACTCTCCCTCTCTCTTTAACACTCTACCTTTCAATTAAACAAATTAGTCTTTAAAGAAAAACTAACTCATCTAGGAGGCAAGAATTTGACCTAATGGTTGAGATGTTGGTTAAGAGACTCACATCCTTGTACTTGGGTTCTATTCTCAGCTCTGGCTCCCCATTCCAACTTCCCACCAGTGAAGACCCAGTGCAGCAGGTGATGGCTCAAGTGGTTGGGTCCCTGCCACCCACATGAGAGACCTGGATTGAGTTCCCAGCTCCTGGCTCTGGCCCTAGGCCTAGCTCTAGCTGTTGCAGGTGGCTCTATCTGTTTGTCTATTTCTTTCCCTTTCAAATTAAAAAAAAAGTTCTTATCTTTAATAAACATTGTATTCCCCATAGAAGTTAACTCAGTGGACTCTCAGTTTTGTAGTCAGCTTCCAACACACACAGACTCAACTATATGTGTTTGTTTTGAGAGTAAATTCTTAAGGCTCAGAATTGTTTGAGCTTATGTTGGTTGTAGTCCATGTCTCCAATCTCTGTAATACTACATATCTGCATCTTAAGCAGGTTATAAATAATCAGTGATTATAAAGATGATGAAACAGAACTCTATTATTTTAGGTGATCACCTGAAGTCTGTCTTTATTTATGTTTAAAATTTAATACAGTGAAACACAGTGAGAACTGTGAAGTGCAATATCTTTGTTGCTCAGGCACAAATTTCACTGTATTCATGAAATATGAATATTTGTATAGGAATAAAAATATGAGGATATTTGTGAGTATGTCCTAAAGATATCAAGTTAGGTGTAAAATATTAGAGCATTCCCAGTGTTGCTTTCTCATGGGTGCTCCTGAAACAAACAGGCATGGAGCCCTCAGTGAGAAGTTACAGGCGATGGCCAGCCCAGTGGAGCTGGCTTCTAACTATTCTCTCTCCAGACCATGTCCTTTCTTTTCTGGTCTGGGTCCTGATACCTCAGAGTTGAGCGTCTGCTTTTCCTCCCTCTTTCCCACCTGTGTAAGTCAGCTTTTCCTTGTGATGATGACAGATCTGACATAGGCTAAATTTATAAAGAAGCAAGATTGATTTAGCTCACAGTTTTAGAGGTTGAACGTCTAAACAACATGGTCAGGCTCTGGTGAGGGTCCCATGGCAGATGGTGGGAGAACACACAGGAGGAACTGCTTACATCTTTTTTTTTTTTAGTTTTTTTTTTTTTTTGACAGGTAGAGTTATAGACAGTGAGAGAGAGAGACAGAGAGAAAAGGTCTTCCTTCCGTTGGTTCACCCCCCAAAATGGCCACTATGGCCAGTGCTGCGCCAATCCGAAGCCAGGAGCCAGGTGCTTCTTCTTGGTCTCCCATGCAGGTGCAGGGGCCCAAGCACTTGGTCCATCCTCCACTGCCCTCCTGGGCCACAGCAGAGAGCTGGACTGGAAGAGGAGCAACCGGGACTAGAACCGGCACCTATATGGGATGCCGACACCACAGGAGGAGGATTAGCCAAGTGAGCCACGGTGCCAGCCCCTAAAGATTTATTTTTATTTATTTGCAAGACAGAGTTACTGAGAGAGGTAGAGACAGAGAGAGTCTTCCATCCACTGGTTCACTCCCCAGTTGGCTGCAATGGCCGGAGCTGCACTGATCCAAAGCCAGGAGCCAGGAGCTTTTTCTGGATCTCCCACATGGATCCAGGGACCCAAGGACTTGGGCCATCTTCCACTGCTATTCCAGGCTATAGCTGAGAGCTGGATTGGAAGAGGAGCAGCCAGGACTAGAACTGGCACCCATATAGGATGCCGGTGCTACAGGCCAGGGCTTTAACCTGCTGTGCCACAGCACTGGCCCCTTGCTCACATCTTAAAGCCAGAGAGAGAGACTGGGCAGGGCAACTCTCGTGAGAACTCACCAGGGTCTCACTAGAAATACCTTCATCTCTTCTGAGGGCACAGCCCAGTTGACTAGGCCCCAACTCTTAACGATTCCACCCACCAGCACCCTGGGGACCAGACTGGCAACACAGGAAGCTTTGGGGGGACAAACAACACCCAAATCGTAGCCCCAACCTAAGACATGTTCTCAGAGCTTTAGTTGACTTGGTGCTTAACATACCAATGTCAAAGATGACAGAGTAAAAGTTCAAAACAATCTTGACAGTTTGGCATGTTACACTGAAAGCAATCAGGTAGACAGAAGTGAAGACCCCACTTCAAGTTAAAGCAATCCATTTCGAAAGTTAACTTGAGGGAGTGACAGGTGTCTTCACCCACATATATCTTGATTGTGAAATATTTCTAGACTGTGATGATGGTTTTGTGGTTAGATGCACATGTCAGAATCTATCAAAGTGTCCATTTTAAATATGGTATATGCAGACTATTGTATCAATTACATCTGCTTCAAGCTATTTAGAAAATGTAATGCTGCATGGCCAGAGGGGAACTGTGCCATTTTCGCAGCACTTTTGAGAAAACTTGGGAGGACCTATTGACTATATTTGTAATTTGACCTTAAGTTTGTGTGAATTTTTCTTTAAAGAAATAATAGAAGCACACTACTGAGATCCAGGAAGTTTAAATGTCGCATCTAGATATTATATTCTGTTCATGGCACCATGATTGTAATGTTGTCACCGGTGGTCTCACCTTTGAGTGGAGACAAGATTGGGAGCCTTCTCGGGATCCAGTTCCTTGGGTCGCTCAGCAATCTAATCCCTCCTAATGAACTTCAGGTTCCTACCAGAAAATGCAGTCCTGGCTGGGAACAGATACATGAAACTCATAGCTGGAAACCCCACTAAACAGTCAGGGTCCCATGTGAGATCCATGCATTCTATCCTCCTGGGCACTTAAGACAAATGACCTTCTCAAGCCGAGCACGCCCTCTGTGGCATAGTCACGACAAGCTGTGGATTCTGTGCAATTCCAAGCACGCTGTGTAATTCTACTCTTCTCTCACTAGGAAAGCTGAAGGGAATGCAAGTGTAAGAGTAGGGAAGAATTATCATGGGGATTACCTTGAATCCTCTCTAACTTATAAATAGGCACTGACCTTTCACATCCTTGAATACTTTATAATTATTAATAAATTACTAGCAATGCTCCTTTCAGCAAATGGGGGCACAGCTGTAGGCAGATCCTGCCAGAGGCTGAAACCTGTTGGACTCCATAAAGTTTCGGCTGCTGATTCCAATCTGAATGGCTCCTCCCAGGGAGCTCAGTGCTCACCTGCGCATCACAGAGCTTCATCTCTGTGTGCCAGTGGCCGGACTTTCTCTTCCCTGCATTGTGAGAATGTGCACCTGAGGCTCAGAAATGCTGTGCGTCACACCAGGTGTACCCACATTCATCGGAAACTCGTTTCTTCTGTTTGCATGACAAGTTTAATGTGGGGGGACACACAGTCTCTAGGGAGGATTTTAGGAGGCTGGAAGCACATCTCATCTGCCTACATCCATCGGGTGTACACATGTGGTTCTTCCTGACTTTCCCCCACTTCTGAACTGAGAGAATGCATCAAATGGCACCAGTGACCTTGTAATTCTTACGGTTGAAAGCCCACAGAACAGTGACATATATTGGGGTGTGTGTGTGTGCAATATTCTCATGTTTCTGGTTCCAGCATATTGTAGATGGTTCTGCTTTGTTATTCTTTTGGGAAGACATGATTATATTTCAACAATGAGAAGGACCTGTCACACAGAATGCCCCTCCCACCACATAGTACCGATGACCCGTCGGTTTGGGCAAGGAATTTCAACCATCCTCTCAGCCTAGAAGCCCTCCATTGTCTGGAGAAAGGTCCAGGGTTTTGGGAATACCTGCACACCCTTATCAGTGCTCATCACATCACATGGTGACTGCAAGTCAGTGGTTTCTCTGGCAACTAGTATTCCCAGCGCCTAACACACTCAGATCATGAATTTACTCTTGCTGAATTGAATTGAAGGGCTTACTAGCAGAGGGCAATAGTGTCTCCCATCTTGAGATGACTTAAAAATATCTGCCAGAGGACTAGTTATAGCTAGAAGGGACCTTAGGAAACCCATGCCTCTCATTTTGAGAAGTGGAGATCTGAAGCTTAGAAAGTCAAAGACTGGCTGTTGGAGCAGTCCTGGGACCCAGGTCTTCCAGGGGCTGGTGGGGAGCCTTTTCCGCTGTGCCCCCAGTCACATGTCCTCTCCCTCCACTTCCAGCCTCGTCAACTTTGTGTGCCACACCTGCTTCAAGAGGCAGGAGAAGCTCCACCGCTGCGGGCAGTGCAAGTTTGCCCACTACTGTGACCGAACCTGCCAGAAGGACGCTTGGTTGAACCACAAGAACGAGTGTTCGGCCATCAAGAGATATGGGAAGGTGCCCAATGAGAACATCAGGTCAGAGCCGGGCTCTGGGGTCATGCCTGGGATCCCCAAATGTGACCGCATCCCCAGCAGTGACCGCATCCCCAGGCCTCAGGACGCCAGGCTGGGCCTCAGAGACCAGATATGGGACTCCTGTTCACTGCCTTCAGGTCTAGAAGGGGAATTAGGTGTCCACAGCAGCGTGTCCAGACTGCAGTCCCTGGGCACAGCCAGCCCACAGGTGCCTTCTCTATGGCTCACCAGTGTTTACTTTTTATCATTATTTTTTAGTTATTAATGGTTTTCCTTTTGTTTACCACACATTTTATACCATTTTTGTGATTTGCTATGAACTGTACAAATGATCCAAGGTTCACTTTTTAAAAAATTATTCTGCCAATGTTTAAATATTGGGAAATTGCACATTTAAAAAATTTGGAGTTTTGGCTTCTCCTGTAAAAAATTTTAAAAAACAGTAAAAATGTAACCAAAAAGGCTAGAGCCTCTGTTCTTTTTTGAAAAATACAGTTTTCTGGGGCAAGATTTGGCCAGAGGCCACGTTGCTGTTTGGGATACCAGCATCCCATATAGGGATGCCTGGGTTTGTGTCCTGGTTCCATTCCTAGTTCTACTTCCTGCTCATATTGCCCTGAGAGGCAGCAGGTAATGGCTCAAGTACTTGGGTTCCTGCCACCCAAGTGGAAGACCCAGATTATTTCTGCTCCTGGCTTTGGCCTGGCCCAGTTCTGGCTGTTGTGGGCATCTTGGGGTGTGACCAGTGGATGGGAAATCTCTGTCTGCCTCTCTCTCTCTCTGACTTTCAAATAGATCAGGCAATTTTTTTAAAAAAGGTATATTTATTTATTTGAAAGTCAGAATTACAGAAAGAGAGGGAAAAAAACAAAGAGAGAGAGAGAGAAAGTGAAAGAATCTTCCACCTGCTGGTTCAGTCCCCAAAATGGCTGCAATAGCCAGGGCTGTGCCACTCCAAAGCCAGGAGTTTCATTCTGGTCTCCCACAGTGGGTACAGGAGTCCAAGCACTTGGGCTATCCCCCACTGCTTTTCAAGGCCATTGGCAGGGAGCTGGATTGGAAGCAGAGCAGCCAGAACGTGAATTGGAGCCCATATGGGATGCCAGAGTCACAGTTGGTGACTACCTGCTATGCCAAAACACTGACTCCAACAATTTTTTAAAAATACAGTTTTCTTAGTCACTGCAGCCTCCACTACTCCCGGTGGTGCTACAGGCTGCCTTCTGCACCCAAGACACTCAGCAAGCATTTGTATTTGCAGCTGGTGGTCGTGGCCAGAAGTCTCAGGGACAGTACCTGGGCAGCCCTAGCTTAAGAGCTCCCAAGTCCTGGAGGCTCTGCCAGGGCAGGGGCTGCCTGAGCTGTGGGGAGGTGCCTAGGGAGCCAACAGTGGCGAGTAGAGGCAATGGGGATGGTGACTTGGGGCATTTTCATTCTGCCAGTAGCTTGTGTAGTTAAAGACCAAAATGGGATTCTCTTGTTGTGGGAATTTTTAGAAAACTGCAGGCTGAACTAGCAGCCGTCCTGCTTAGATCCATCTACTACAATCCTACACATTCTTCAGGACCCAAAGGAAATGTCACCCTACTGGTAGGAGCTCAGGTTCTCCATGTGCTTAGTCCCAGTTGATAGCTTCTGAAACTGAGTTGAAATTGGTCACCCCATGCCTTCTGGTCTCTGCGCTTCATGATCATTTCCCCAGTCTCTGGGGGCGGCAGCTCTTCCCCACACCCCATTGCCGTCCTAGACTCCATGTGGGGACACCTCAGTTCCCACACACCTGGGGACCCCTGCAAGGCATCTCTCCAGGAGTAACCCCATGACCCAAATAGGAAGAGAAAGAGTCCTGTGTTTTTGTCAAGGGAGTCCCTCCTGAGGCCTCCAGCCCCTCTTAGTTACCTGGACAGCATGCAGTCCAGACCGAGTGGCAGGGAGATGTGAAAATCCACCTGAGTCACAGGCTCCATTTGGGGGGTGGGCTGCATAAGAGTTAACCAGGAGGCAGTCAGGGAGAAGTACCCTCCTCAGGATCACAGCGAAAGCCCTGTGTTCTGTGGGGCCCCTTCCTGTCTCACTCTGCCTCCTGCAGAGCTCTCTGCTCCAGCCGAGCTAGGCCCTTCCTTGCTTCCTGCATAGTCCTCACTGTTGGCTGCCACTGGGACTTTGCTTATGCTGTTCCTCCACGTTTTCCCTACCCAGTCCTTAAGAACACAAATAAGCTTACCCATGACGTGGCCATCCGTTCCCTCACTTTGTCCTCTGAGCATCTTTGGAAGTATGGCAGAGAACATGGCCACCAGATAGATTCAGGAGTTCAAGTGACTTACCCAGGGTCACACAGTAAGAACTGGGAACAGTGAAACCCAGGCCACTTGACTCCTTATCCACCGCTCACTCCAGTAAGCCTACTGTCAGGAGGCACTCAGCTGCCGTACCTCTCCATGTCCCCAGACCCCATGTGACCCAGCTCCTGCTGTCTCCACCTGGATTTGCTCTCCACTCCTTGCTCCAGGTGCTCCAGCCACCTCTGTCTTCTTCCTGTTTCTCCATCACGTCAGCCTCATGCCTTCCTCAGGGGCTTTGAACTCAGTGCTGTTTCCCCAATCCCACACAGCTGGCTCTTCTGTCCATGCCAGTTCCAGCTCAAATGGACCTTCTTGGTGACCCTCCCTTGATGACCTTGGCTTTACCTGTCCCAGTCACTGTCTATCATGTCACCTGATTTTATTTTCCACAGAGCATTTAACTGTACTTAAAATGACTGTGCTTGTGTAAATCTCCCTCGCTGTAAACAGCTTCATGATAGAACAAAGTCCATCTGTTTAGCTCAAAACTGAATCTTAGGCCCACCATTGTACCTGGCATGCATTAGGCACACAGAAAACGTTGAATGAACGAATGGATGAATGGATGAGTGGATGAATGTAGTGGCGGCCTTCCTAACACTGCCTCCTCCCCAGGCTGGCGGCGCGCATCATGTGGCGGGTGGAGAGAGAGGGCACGGGGCTCACGGAAGGCTGCCTGGTCTCCGTGGACGACTTGCAGAACCACGTGGATCACTTCGGGGAGGAGGAGCAGAAGGAGCTGCGGGCGGACGTGGACACGTTCTTGCAGTACTGGCCGCCGCAGAGCCAGCATTTCAGCATGCAGTACATCTCGCACATCTTTGGAGTGGTAGGCTCCCCCCCGTCCCCTCTCACCCTCTTGGCCTTTCTCTTCTTTCCTTCCCTCTTCCTTTGGAAGGGTGGGGCTTCCCGGAGGTGAAAAGCTCTGAGGACGAAACCCCATCTGCCCTGGACAGTGTCTGCTCTTCCTGTAAAGCTCTCCTCTTTGGCCTGCTGGTTAAGATGCTGATCAGGACCCTTACATTCCATAGCAGAGTGCCAGGGTTTGAGTCCTAGTTCTACTGGGTTGCAGCTTCCTCCTCCTGCAGAGCCTGGGAGGTGACGTAGGTGATGGCTCAAATGATGGGGTTCCACACCAAGTGGTGTGGGAGACCTGGACTGCATTCTCAGCTCCCAGCTTTGTTCCGAGCCTGCTCCAGATGTTCCGGGCATTTGGGGAGTGATTCAGTTGATAGGCCCTCTCTGTCGCTCAAGAAGATAGATAGATAGATAGATAGATAAAAGGAAGAGTGTTCCTTGCTCGGCAGCCAGGGATTCTGGTGAACTCTGTCCTCTATATAGACTTTTGTAGCACAAACACTAACTTTGCCCCTTCCTTTTCTGAGCCTGGGAACAGGTTTCTGAATGACCCAATTTAAATATTCAGAGATTCTAGAGTATTATTCCTTATAAATGAGGGGTCTTAGAGACAGCTGGTCTGCCTAATGAGTTTCCAGAAGCTTCCAGACCAGTTGGGACTGGAGGCCAAGAGAAGGACTGGAGGGGCACAGAAGTTTCTAATGAACACTTCTCATCTCATGCTCTCTCTGGGCTGATTTACTGTGAGGTCACCCTTGACCTTTATGATATTGGCATCCCCCTTATGAGCTTCATTTATTGTCTCTGAATGGTAGACATGAATGGGAATTTATCTTCTTGTCAATCTGCACTTTACAAATTTTCTGCTGTCCACATTGGAAACACGATCTGATTACCATCCCTTCCTGTCTCCCAATCACTTTGGAAAGAAGACCCTTACTTTGCCCAGGTCTGCTGGGCAGGATACAGGGCAATCTTGGAGCATGGTGGTTGGTGAAGCAGGGAGAAAGAGATCAGTGCTCAATGGTGGGGTCAACACGTCCAGCAGAGACCCTGAGAGTTCAGGAGAACTGGTGGATCAGAAGGCCCAGGCCTTAGTTCTAGGTCTTCTATCTGGCAGTCCCTTTGTGTGATGATGATGATCAGGTTGACGAGGGAGGTTATTGTTATAACAACAGCATGACTGTAATCACCATCTGCACAGTCTTCACCATGGACAGAAAGGAAGAAAGAGGTCGGGCCAATGCTGTGATGTAGTAGGTTAAGCCTCCACCTGTGGTGCTGGCATCCCACTTGGGCACCAGTTTGAGTCCTGGCTGCTCCTCTTCCAATCTGGCTCTCTGCTATGGCCTGGGAAAGCAGTGGAAGATGGCCCAAGTCCTTGGCCCCTGCATCTGCATGGGAGACCCAGAAGAAGCTCCTGGCTCCTGGCTTTATGGCTTTAGATCCACCCATCTCCAGCCATTGTGGCCATTTGGGGAGTGAACCAGCAGATGGAAGACTGTTCTCTCTATCTCTCCTTCTCTCTGTAACTCTGTCATTCAAGTAATCTAAAAAAATTTTTTAAAAAAAAAGGAAGGAAGAAAGAGGTAGGGGAGAGGAGAAGAGATTTAAACAATTGGCTCACACAATTGTGGAAGCTGGGTAAATCCAAAATCTGCAAAGTAGGTCAGGCTGGAGACCTGGGGAAGAGTTAATGGCAGGTTGAGTGCAAAGGTAACCTGGTGGCAGAATTGCTTCTTGTTCATGGGAGGACAGTCTTTAATTTCTTAAGGCCTTCAGTTGAGTGGATGAGGCCCACTCACTTTATGGAGAGCACTTTGCTTTACTCAGAGTTCACCAATTTAAATGTTAATCTTATCTTTTAAAATATCCACTTTCATAGAAATAGACATAATAATGTTAGACCAAATATCCAGGCACCATGGTCCAGCCAAGCTGACATACAAAATTAGCCATCATAGCTTTCCTTGTATCATTTAATGCAGTTACTGCATTATAAGGTGAGGCCCAGGCTTTTAAACATTCTTGTTTTATAGTGCAGAAGGCCTAGCCCTGCTGGTACATGGCCTCTGAAGGCCATGTGATTAGTCAGTACTTAAAGAAGGTCTAGGAACAGCAAGTCTGGTGGTGGGAAGGTCTAGGAACAGCATGTCTGGTGCCAGAGATTCTACTCTTAATTGCTGTGCTCTATAGACTTGGGGGAAAATTGATGTGATAAACCCATCCTGGGCATCCCCAAGGAGAGTGGGGCCAGGGGTGGGGGTGACTAGAGCCACAGAGTGCAGAATCACCGAAGCTTGGAGCTGAAAAGGATCCTGAAAACTCATCTAGTCCAACTTATTCAACCTGCAGTTGGGAAAGCCAGGGTGAAGAAAAGAAAGGAATTTGCCCAAAGTAACACAGCCTCCTAGCAATATTCACAGCATAATGTCAGGTACTTGCTAAATAGCCCATAAGAATAGTGGAGGAAGTGATACTCTTCCCTGTTTATAGTGTAGTCATATGAGTGTGTAAATGCTCATAGTGTGTATTCATATAGAAAGCAGAATGTCGAGTGCAGTTATTAATGCATTCTATATTATATTCAGTTTTTAATTTGAAAGGAAGAGAGAGAAGCATCTTCCATTTGCTGGTTCACTCTGCAAACACCTGTAACAGCCAGGGCTGGGTCAAGGTGAAGCCATGAGCTGGAAACTTAATCCAGGTCTCCCACATGGGTGTCAGGGACCCAACTTCTTGAGTTGTTACTGCTGCCTCTTAGAATGTGTATCAGCAGGAAGTTGGAACTGAGAGTGAGGCCGGGACTCTAACCCAGACACTCCAATATGGGATGCTGCTGATCCAAGTGTTGTCTTCATTTTTTTTGCATTTTTTGTACCATGAGAGAAGATACTTGGAATATATTTCTATAAATACAACTTTTTTAAAATAAAGATTTATTTATTTATTTTGAAAGTCAGAATTACAGAGAGAGAGAGAGAGTTCTTTCATTTGTTGGTTCATGCCCCAGGTGACCGCAACAGCCAGTGCTGGGCCAGGCCAAAACCCAGCCAGGAGCCAGGAGCTTCTTCCTGGTCTCCCCAGTGAGTACTAGGGCCCAAGCACTTGGGGCATCCTAGGCTGCTTTTCCAGGCCATTATCAGGGAGTTGGATTGGAAGTGGAGTAGCCAGAACTTGAACCAGCACCCATATGGGATGCTGGCATCGCAGCCAGTAGCTTTACCTGCTATACCACAATGCCGACCCCAATACAACTTATTTCTAAGGAAAAGAAAATCACCTGAATGCTATATCAGTAATAACTAATTCAATTTGCCAAGTAAATGTTAAATATTGTACTCATCATATTTAAAAATTGTGGACAACCACAAAATAATCCAATAGAAATGTCAATTTATATTTCTTTAAAAAAAAAAGACTTATTTATTTGAAAGTATGAGTTACACAGAGAGAGAAGGAGAGGCAGAGAGAGAGAGAGGTCTTCCATCCGCTGGTTCACTCCCCAATTGGCTGCAATGGCCGGAGGTGCTCCAATCCGAAGCCAGGAGCCTGGAGCTTCTTCCAGGTCTCCCAGGCGGGTGCAGGGGCCCAAGGACTTGGGCCATCTTCTACTGCTTTCCCAGGCCATAGCAGAGAGCTGGATTGGAAGTGGGGCAGCCAGGACACAAACTGGTGCCCACATGGGATGCCGGCTCTGCAAGCAGAGGCTTTGCCCGCTATGCCACAGCGCTGGCCCCAATTTATATTTCATGAGCAGCTAGAGGAGTTGAGGGTGGGGAGAGACACACAGAGACACACTCTCACACATGCACATACGTGCAAATCAGGGCAGAGAGAGAAGAACCAAGGCAAATGCTGAGGAAGACGCATGTGAGGCCCAAACACAGAGAAAGGGACCCAGCATTTCCATCATCTTTGGCTTTTTTAGTATATGGTAACCCACAGCTTTCAAGGTGCTGCTGCATTTTTGCACATTTGGCACTATCTACCAAAGCAAGAGGCTATTTTGTTTCCAGACTCTCTAAGCATCTCCAGGGTGAGACTGGGACTTCTATGATTTTCCACTCCTCTTATAAGGTTGATGTTCTGTCCCTAATCTGCAACTGTTAACTGACTTTTTAATCTTTCTTCTGGGCAGATCAACTGCAATGGTTTCACTCTTAGTGATCAGAGAGGCCTGCAGGCTGTGGGTGTGGGCATCTTCCCCAACCTGGCCCTGGTGAACCATGACTGCTGGCCCAACTGCACCGTCATATTTAACAATGGCAAGTGAGTATCTTCAACTGGCACTGTGTGATGGGGATGGGGAGACCTTATGGTATGTTCTCCACACTTGACATAAGCCAGAGTGCACCTGTTGAATCTGACTAGCATGGGTTTCAAAGGTGTAGCAGGTAGGAATCTCATTCTAGAATAGTCGTGGGTGGGAGCAAGATGATAAGGAGGACATCAGAGGATTCCACATGGGTCATCTCTGAGTCTTTGCATGTTTCTCGAGGCTGCATTGATGGGTTAGACACGTCTCTGACTTCTAACACTATTGAATAACTTGAAGTCTGGGATTATGTACCTAGAGTTCATCGCAAAGCAATACAGATCGAAAGTGGGTTGGCAGGAGCATAGATCAGTCAAGGTCCCATCAGGAGTCAGAGGCACACCCAAAGAGCTCACTTGAAGAGAATTTAATGAAGGGACAGGTTATAGAAACGTGGGTTTAGGAAACTAACAGGGAACGGGGCAGTGCCCAGGGTCTGGTAACATATGAAACCATCACCACCTCTAGACCTGGAGGGTCACGAGGAGGCCATAGTGCTGTGAGAGCTGAGCTGTGGCAGGGAGCTCCCCAACAGCTCTACTGTGGTCGTGCCTGTAGAGAAACCCGCCATTGCCTGCACCATGGGCTCAGTACCCCCATCTCTTTCTCCTCTCACCCTTTGATCTGCTTCCTTTGGCCAAACCCCAGCCAGAGAGCAGAGGATCCTGAGTGATGCAGCCTTCAGAGGTCAGCTGCGCCCAGGAAGGCACAGCTCAGGGACATAAGGGCGAAGAGGGGTTCTGGGGGTGGGGCACAAATGGAGAGAAGTCGGCAATGGGATGAGCCCCCAGTTGTCCTGCGCTCTGACCAGGGATGTCTGAGGGAAGGAAGGAGACCTGAGTGATATGAGCTCCTTGTGCCCTTAGAGGTGAGCTCCCATGACAGGTGCCAGCTGACTCAGATCCGTCAAGAATGGACAGATTTCCTCTGGAAACTTCCTAGAAGCAGAAGACAAGGGTTTCAGGTCTTGGTTGAGAACCAAGTCTAAGCCCCGATACAGCAAAGGCCCTACTTTCCCTTTGCTTTCCCATTTCTGACACCAGACTCTTAATCAACTGAGAAAGTCACTCAGGATGGGGAAGCTTATTTTGGATGCAGATGCTAATCTTTTCTCAGCATTGTGTTTCCTTTTCTAAGCCTCTTGGGGTCCCTGGCCTAGACCTCATGAAATCTTCCCTTGAGGGGCTGTTGTACAGGCTACCTTGGCTGTCATCTAGGTCAGCCTGGCTGTCAGAGAGTATAAGCTCAGCTACAGATGGAGCCAGATTTTCTAGAAGGCCTTCCCTAGGCAGTGGTGACTCTGGGCTCATCTTGTCACTGTGTGTAACAGTCAAGGAACCTGGGAATGCTTTCTTCAGGTCATGTCTGATGTTTGCTTTGGCTTCCTTGCATCTACTAATTTCGAGCAGCTATTTTACCCAAACTTCATGGCTTTTGTGCAAGAGATGGTATCTTTTCAGTCACTGCCTAGCTGCCTACTATAGTGGAAAGAAGCCTGGATATGGTGTTAGCGCCCCAGTTCTATTCCCAACATTTTTTACATGCTGCTTGTGTGACCTCACCAGTCATCACATGCAGTTCAAGCTCTCCCCAAGATAGGCATCCAAAGAGGCAATGTTTATTCATCTTGGATGCTTGTTAGTAGGAAAATAAAATAACACCATGCCATGCATTTCATAGCACTACACTTTCAAGTGCAGGTCTCACTCATCACCAGGTTACAAGTGAGAATAAGCAGGTCCAAAGAAAGGAATTAACTTCTTGAGGGCTGAGTGTCTTTGAACCCAGAACTTCTCATTCCAAATTCAGGGCACGTTCCTCCACTGAAATGCATCTTGTCATGTGAGCTCAGCTGGAAGGGCTGGAATAAAGGTTGTTGTAATGGCCAAAGCTTGGATTGTGTAACCCAGAATGCTGTGTATCCTGCTAGCCATACCGGATCGGCCAATGGTACTGATTTCCATTTGGGTATCTGTTTTGTCTTTCAGTCATGAGGCAGTGAAATCCATGTTTCACACCCAGATGAGGTGGGTCAGTTCTTTCAAGCATCCCTGCTCCTCTGACCCATCTCCCTCACTTGCCTGGTTTGCTGGGGCCACTCCTTCCCAAGACTCCATGGCTGTATTAGTCTGTGAAGTCCTTTTGCAGCCCAGTGTCTAGCCTTCACTGAATGCTATACATTTTACTGCATTTCAATTAACACTTTGCTCCGCACTCACCCACCACTTGCCTTGTTTTTGCTTTATTTTGCTTCCTTCTTGCCTCTCCTTCATTCCTCACTTCTCCTGCCCCTCCAGTCTTTAAGCATGAACCATCTAGTCTACATTATCTTAGCAAAAACCTGTATTTTCCCCTAAACCTACTTACTGTAAAATGAGGTCTGTTGGTGTTGCTGACCTACTAAAGGATGGTATGCTTGATTATAATTCCCAACTTCTCACCCAGACTGGGCTCTAAGAATAGCACCCATAACTGTGATATTTTGATAAATATTTATTCATGGTGTTCTGTTAACTGCTTCTGGCTAACTATGAGTTAGTTGCTTAGATGAAAATTTACTTTAGACTTTTCTTGTTAAAATGTCCATACTGCTTAAAGTGATTTACAGATTCAATGTAATCTCTGTCAAGATACCAATGGTTTTCCTAAAAGAAATAGAAAAAACAATCCTAAAATTCATAGGGAACCACAACTGACCCTGAATAGCCACAGCAATCTTCAGCACAAGGAACAAAGCTGGAGGGATTACAGCACCTGACCTCAAATAATGCTACAGGGAGATAGTAACCAAAACAGTGTGGTACTGGCATAAAACTGACACACTGATAAATGAAACAGAATGGAGAACCAGAAATAAATCCACATAGCTACAGCCAACTGATCTTTGACAAAGACACCAAAAGGAAAGTCTATTCAGTAAGTGATGCTGGGAAGCTGGATACCCATATGCAGAAGAATGAGACTAGACCCCCATTTCTCATCATATAAAAAAAGACAACTCAAACTGGATCAAAGACTTAAAACCCCAAGCCAGGAAACTACTAGAAGAAAATACAGGAGAAACATTCCAGGACATTGGTATGGGCAAAGATTTTACAGATAAGACCTCAAAAGCACAGACTACAAAAACGAAACCAGGTAAATGTGATTATATCAAACGGAGAAGCTTCTGCACCATGAAGGAAACAATCAACAGAGTGGGAGAAAACATTTGCAAACTATTGCCCAGAAGACATAAGGAGCAACAAAACACACCACCAACAACAAATCCCAACTTAAAAGCAGGCACATGATCTGAATAGATATTTCTCATTAGAAGATGTTTAGATGTCCAAGGGTTATATGAAACAATGCTCTTCACTTTTGACTTTTTTTTTTTAAATAACAACTAAATGGCTCCAGAGGGATATTTTCCTCAGATTAGGCTTGAAAGCCCTTGAACTGGTCTTTGACCAACTATTGAGAACAAAATGCCACATGGACGTTTTGGCTTTGACATTGCAACGGTAGAAGTGGTTGGTGCAGCCGAGGCTGTGTTGGTGTGCAATGCACATGACTGGATGATTCACATTATCTTCTGGGCTCAAGTTCCATATCTGTAGAGTGAAAATCAAGAGGAGAACATCTCCTAGAAGCCTTCTAGGGCTCTGAGCTCTGTTCCTAACCTCTTCAAGAAATAAATAAATTGCCTCCTGGTGACTCAGTTAGTTGAACTATGGAATTATAGTGTTGGAGATGGGAGAGGTCTGGGGTCCAGGGTGGTAAGAGACTTGTCCAAGGAAGCTGGTTGGAGGAAGAGTCAAGGCTAAAACCTTCATCTTCTGACTCCTTCCACAATACTTATTCTGTGTTGATCACCATTTGCCCTCTAAGCCCCAATTCCAAGTAAGGTAAAATGGGATGAACATAAATGCATTTTTCCATATTAAGGTGACTTTAAGTTAATTTGATTTTGAAAACTCTAACACTATTTAAATATTCCAAGACACTGAAGGCCTTGCCAGAATTGGCTCAACCATGATGAAAAGGAACGAACTCAAGATTCCAACCCACTTGGCCACTGGGTCACTGTTGAGTTAGGATATGTCAGTCTCTACAGCAAGCTGGCCTGTAAAAGGAACACAACTACTTACTTCCCCACCAGGACCAAACACTAGAAACCCACACTCCATCACTCCACGTAGGCCCAGGAGTTGCTCACAAAGAGCTATTTAGGACATTAGTAAAGTCTGAAAAAGCACGGGCTTTGATGCGTCTCATTTCTCGTCCATCATAGACACGGGAGGCAGCCGGAATGCAGCTGGGTGAGGTCAGAGGGATGTGGTGAAGCATCCTTGGCACTTCAGCTCTAATCTTGCTCTGTCTCCAAAGTGCTGTGAGGTCTTGGGGGAAGCTGCCTGTCTTAGGTCAGCATCCTCATTAGCAAAATGAAGATTGCCTGCAACTTGGGCATCTTAGGATTCTACACAGAGCTGTGAATAGAATCGTCCAGGCATCCTCTCCCACTTGCATTCCATCACTTCAATAAAGGCTGCTGCCAAAAATTGGGGTTAGGAAGAAAGGAAAGAAAGAGCAAGAGGTGAGCAGGCACTTGGGTTTTGCCCAGCTCCATGTGAGTTATTTGTATACTTATTATCACCTTTTTCAGATGTGCTGATGTGACCCACTTTGGGGAAAGTGGATTATTAACCTTAAGTGGTCACCTCAGAAGGTGCCAAGACATGCATGTCGCTGCCTTTCGGCAGGTGCACCTTTGGTTGTTCTATTAGCTATTAGCTTGTTTTCTGTGGTTATAACAGAATATCTGATGGCGGGTAATTTGTAAAGGAAGAAGCTTTAGAGGCTGAAAGACCAAGATCTAGTGGCCCCAGCTGTTTGGCCTCTGGTGAGAGGCTCATGGCAAAAGTGCCTCTGAGAAAAGTCACAGGTGAGACAGGAGGCCAGAGAGTGAGGAGTGGGTGGGTGCAGGCTTGCTCTTCTTAAAACAACTCGTTCTTGTGCCAGCTGATTCCACTGGACCAGCATTAATCCCTTCAGAAGCTTGCACCCCCAGTGGTCTAACCACCTCCACTAGGCCCCCACCTCTTAAGCTTCCACCACCTCTACACCACCACTGTGAGGACCATGCCTCCGACATATGAACCCTTGGGGGATAAACAACAGCCACACCCTAGCAAATGTCATCTGAGATTCAGTGGAAAAAGCAGCCTTGGACCAAGACCCAGAGTCTTACTCTGTGTTGCACATGGTGTGCAACTCAGCCTTTCTGGGAAGTCAAAGAAATGACCAGAGATCTCTGTGATGATGCTCTCCCCAGCCCTCTGCATCCTGCCATTTGCTCTCAAGTGATGATTTCCCACTGGGCAGTGAGGCCCCAGGATCCTGAAGAGACAGAACTGAGAATCTAGTATGCAGGGCAACCACTTATGTCCTGTAGCCATCTGGCCTTGTGGAGGCTGACCACCACTGTGTGGCTTTGCTGGATTTCATTTCCAAGGAAGGCTTCTATCTTCAGCTCCATCTGAATCTATTATATGGTAAGCAGGTGGTGCTGTAGGTCATTGGAGGGTCGGGTCTAGGCTGAAAGAGAATTGAAATGCCATCTGCTCTTGCTAAGCCCCGTCTCCTAATAAACACAGAAGTAAACATGAAGTAGGCTAACAGAGCCAGCCATTGTTGGTTTCCCTTCAATGAGGGTATAAGTCCCCTCTCATAAGGTAGGCCTGAACCATCAAACTGAAGCTCAAGGTAAGAGGGGGCTTAAAGTTAGACTCAAAAGAGGCCAAGACTGTAATTGGACGTGTATTTCTGAGAGAGGAATCCTTGAACTACCCAGAAATTATTTTCAAGTCTTTTCTGGTTTGGTGTTTTCTTCTGATTATTTTCCCCCTCCTTTGTTACAATTATTAGCTAAATATACAGGGATAGCTGCAAGTGTGGAATCCATGTATGATTTCGTGACCAAGTCCAGTTCTCAGCTGGACTCTTATTTGAGCTGTTTCCAGAGCGAGGATCTGAATGGAGGAGATTTGACTGTTGCAGTGAGAAGAATGTTATCATCCAGAAAACTGTCCTTTAGGTCACATTTCCCCTTTTGGGGGGCTGTGGGGATTTTCTCAGAGTGCTAGAGGCTGTTGCTGCCTTTGAGGCTTGACCCCTTGGAATTGACTCTTTTCCTTTCACCCCGCTCCAGAATTGAGCTCCGGGCCCTGGGCAAGATCTCGGAAGGGGAGGAGCTCACGGTGTCCTATATCGACTTCCTCAACGTCAGCGAGGAGCGCAGGCGGCAGCTGAAGAAGCAGTACTACTTCGACTGCACCTGCGAGCACTGTCAGAAAGGGCTGAAGGACGACCTCTTCCTGGGGGTGAAGGACAACCCCAAGGTACACGGCCCCTCCTGCTGGGGTGTTTGCTGGGGGCCTCAGCTTCTCCAGGAGCCAGCCGATGGGATTTCGCAGTCAATGAATGCGCCCCTGCCCATGAACTTCCCAGAGGGCCTGTAACTCTGGGGATTCAGGCAGAGCACGGCAGGCAGGTCCCAGCCAGTGTCCTGGCATCACCTCTTGTCAGGTGTGTTTGGGGGAGTTGCCTCTCCCCGCCTCCTGAAACCTCCCTGGTCAAGCCATTGTACTTGCCTAGGGTCAGGCCTGAGAAATCGCACATGAAGTTTTCTTTATTTTTATTTTTTAAATTTTTATTTATTTGTTTGACAGGTAGAGTTGTAGACAGTGAGAGAGAGAGACAGAAAGGTCTTCCTGGCCGGCGCCGTGGCTCAATAGGCTAATCCTCCACCTTGCGGCGCCGGCACACCGGGTTCTAGTCCCGGTCGGGGCGCCGGATTCTATCCCGGTTGCCCCTCTTCCAGGCCAGCTCTCTGCTATGGCCAGGGAGTGCAGTGGAGGATGGCCCAGGTGCTTGGGCCCTGCACCCCATGGGAGACCAGGAAAAGCACCTGGCTCCTGGCTCCTGCCATAGGATCAGCGCGGTGCGCCGGCTGTAGCGGTGGCCATTGGAGGGTGAACCAACGGCAAAGGAAGACCTTTCTCTCTCTGTCTCTCTCTCTCTCACTGTCCACTCTGCCTGTCAAAAAAAAAAAAAAAAGAAAGAAAGAAAGGTCTTCCTTCCATTGGTTCACTCCCCAAATGGCCGCTATGGCCGGAGCTACGCTGATCCGAAGCCAGGAGCCAGGTGCTTCTTCCTGGTCTCCCATGCGGGTACAGGGGCCCAAGCACCTGGGCCATCCTCCACTGCCCTCCTGGGCCACAGCAGAGAGCGGGACTGGAAGAGGAGCAACTGGGACTAGAACCTCCCATATGGGCAATAAGCCCATATGGGATGCTGGCACTGCAGGCGGAGGATTAACCAAGTGAGCCACGGCGCCGGCCTCACAAACTTATTCTTAATATAGGATATTTTTACCCTTTGACCAAAAGGTTCTACTTCTATGAATTTTCCCCTTAGCTGTGCTTACGCATGTGAACAAAAATACATGTATATGCATGGCGGCATTTTGGGGAGCAACAAAATATTGAATACAACCTTCTAACTACAAGTAGGGAAATGTTAAATGAAAGAAATACCCTGCTACCCTTACAATGAATGAAGTGGATGTTTATGTAGCTGTGGAGGGAGCTCTGTGTCTTTTATTTAACCAAGAAAAAACCTTTGGGAGGGAAAGAGCGAGTGAGCGAGCGAGAGAGAGAGAGAGCCAGCGAGCGCGCACTCCTATCTGCTGGTTCACTCTTCAAATGCCCCAGAATGACTGGGGCTGGGCTCGGGGCCAGAACTGCAGCCAGGAGCTGGGAATGCAATCCAGGCCCGCATTAGCGGAATTGGGAGCCAGACCAGGGAGGAACTCCTGTGTGGGACGGGGACGTCTTAACTGGCAGGCTAAAGGCCTACCCCCTGAACTCTATTTCTGGAGGGAAAAGAATGAAGGAACCAAACAATGCCATGTGTGTGTCTGTTAGTGCTACTGCAACAGGGAACCACAAACAACCCAAAGTGGTCTCACAGTTCTAAAGGCTGGAGTCTACAAACTGTCATCAGTGTTGGTTCCCTACTCTTCCTTTTTAAAAAAGATGATTTATTTATTTATTTGAAAAGCAGAACCTTTGAATGAGAGCTGGAGAGAGGCAGAGAGTCTTCCAACTGCTGGTTCACTCTCCCATAGGGCTGCAACAGCCAGGGCTGAACCGGGCCAAAGTCAGGAGCCAGGAACTCCATCCTGGTTTCCCATATGGGTGGCAGGGGCTGTCTTCTGTTTCTTCTGTTGGCCATTTTGGGCCATCTTGGGTCATCTGCTGTCGCTTTCCCCAGGAGCATTAGCAGGGAGCTGGATCGGAAGCCAAACAGCTGGGACTTGAACCTGTGCGCTGATGTGGGATGCTAGTGTCCCAGAGGGGAGCTTAACCTGCTGCACCTCAGTGCTGGCCCCCAGGTCGGCTCCTTTGAGGGCTGTAGCATTTTCCTCCCTTATTCCTCTGGACTGTCTTTGCTTAGGCTGCTGAGGGCTCTCTTTTCCTCGTTCCAGTCTTTAACCATGGTTTTCACAATTATTCAGTTACTCCCTGCCCCTCCTCTTCTGCCTCCTCCCCTTCTCTGGCTTCTGCCCCTCCCTGGCCTCCCTGCCCCTCCCAGGCTTCTCCTGTCTGCTGTCTTCTATCTTGTCCACCTCTAATCTCTCTTCCTCTTCCCCTGTCTGGCCTCAGCCACCCCTTCTCCTTTGCTCTTCCTCTTCATTTTCTATTTTCTTTAATGCTTCTGGAGAGAACAGGCTTTCACTGTGGGGTTTCCTTAAATTCTGGCTGCAAATCAGAGGGCTCCTGACTTTGCTCACAAAAGCACAGCCACATGGGATGGCCCTGATTCCTTTCTCAGAATGGATTTATCACATTTTAGACATATGAAGGAATAACTTTTCTGCCAGTTCATTTCGGGAACCTTGAAAGTAGCCTCCTTTAAAGAAATGGATTCACTTCTAGAGCCTTCTTACATCAAATTGAGCCAGACTTTTAATACTTAACTGTACTCAGTGAACTATTACTCCTGAAAATTCTCTAAGAATTATTAACTTTTTTAAAAAAAGATTTATTGATTGATTTGAAAGTCAGAGTTACAGAGAGAAGGAGGAGAGAGAGCGAAAGAGATCTTCTATCAGCCGGTTTACTGTTCCAGTGATCTCAAAGGCTAGACCTGGGATAGGCCGAAGCCAGGAGCCTAGAGCTCCTTCTGGGTCTCCCACATGGGTGCAGGGGCCCAAGCACTTAAGCCATCCTCTGCATCCTCTGTTGCTTGCCCCAGGCTATTAGCAAGAAGCTGGATCAGAAGTGGAGCAGCCAGGACAAGAACTGGTGCCCATATGAGATGTCTCTCTCTCTCTCTCTGAGCAGCCAGGACAAGAACTGGTGCCCATATGAGATGTCTCTCTCTCTCTCTCTCTCTCTCTCTCTCTCTCTCTCTCTCCTTATCTCTTCTTTCTCTGTAAGGATGTCTTTCAAATAAATAAATAAAACCTTTTAAAAAACCCTATTCTGATGGATTTTGATGAGATCACTAGACTGCTTAGGCAAAGGCAATAAGCCTAATGAGTCTAGATTTGATAAAGAGCCAACACATTTTTTCATAATACCCTTTTGATTAAGACAAGTAAGTAATGGCTGGAAGAGTTTGAATCACCATTATCACAAGTGTTCTCTCTTTTTTTATTTTTATTTTTTATTTTTTGACAGGCAGAGTGGACAGTGAGAGAGAGAGAGAGAGAGAAAGGTCTTCCTTTGCCGTTGGTTCACCCTCCAATGGCCGCCGCGGCCGGCACACTGCGCTGATCCGATGGCAGGAGCCAGGTACTTATCCTGGTCTCCCATGGGGTGCAGGGCCCAAGCACTTGGGCCATCCTCCACTGCACTCCCTGGCCACAGCAGAGAGCTGGCCTGGGAGAGGGGCAACAGGGACAGAATCCAGCGCCCCGACCGGGACTAGAACCCGGTGTGCCGGTGCCACAAGACGGAGGATTAGCCTAGTGAACCGCGGCGTCGGCTCAAGTGTCCTCTTTAATGATATCCAGTGGCAAAGTGGATTGCAGTTTGGGGTCAAGTGTTGGACTCTGTGTTCAGTTCTTTGCTGATATTTGAGTGAATGACTTGGATGAAGACAAAATACAAGAGCGCACACCTGTGGAACAGATGGTAGACTTGAAGCAGCGAGGAAGAAAGGCAAGTATTTGAGATGATAGAATCCGAGTCCAGAATCCAAAGAGAATGCAACAGGGATCCATGTCGGGCTCTGCTCTGGAGTCCAAAGGCCCAGGAGTGGACACAGGCTGGGGATAGGTCAGCTGGGCAGTCTGGCTCTGAGCCTGGGTCACTCAACATATGTCCGAAGCGTGAAGAGGGAGCTGGACAAGCTCCAGGGACCCAGAGCAGCATTTGCAGGAATTAAGCACTCAGAATGCTGAAGGGGTTAACCTGGCACTGCACTGCATAAAAGGTAACAGTGGACGGGAGAGCCTCATGAAGGGGTCTCCACTCCACATCTGCCCCTTTTCCAGCCCTCTCAAGAAGTGGTGAAGGAGATGACAGAGTTCTGCAAGGATACACTGGAAAAAATAGACAAGGCACGCAGTGAGGGTTTGTATCATGAGGTAAGATTCCCTTTTTATAGAGGGGAGGGATAGAAGGGAGGGACCAGAGAGGAGTGGCGTGGGGGTGCGGAGGCCACAGACAGGTTGTTTTCCTGAAGTTGTCCCATGGTGGAGACCTTGACTCTTCCTGCCCTTGGACTTTTAGCACCTCCGAGGATGTGTTCTTGGTGACTGTTCAACCCACTGAGACCAGGCCTGAGGAACGCCAAGGCAGCCTGACAGAAGTCCCTGGGGATTCTGGGTAGCTCAGGTGGCGTCAGAGCTGGAGGAAAGGAGATGGCTGTGGGACACGCTGGGAGGGGGTTGCTTGCTTTCCTGGGCTCAGTGCACCTGTGGCTGCAGTTTCCAGTCTCCCAACCGAGCTGCTGATGCACTGTGGAGTCTCACCTGGCTGTATATTAGAATGACTTTTGGAAAATGCTCATGTTAACTTCCCACCAGGATGATTTCACTGTAGTCTCTGGAGATGGGACCAGATATTTAGGATTTTTAAAGCTCTCAGGGGATTTCAGGGTTGGGACCCACTCCCAAACACCAGCCTGCCAAACAGTTGCGTTGAATTAATCCAAGCAGCTTGTTGGAGATACAGATTCCTGTGTCTCACCCCTAAGGTAGGATTCGTGCAGTCTCCAACAGAACACAGGTGCCAGGACCCAGCATATTCTCCTCCAGTTCATTAAGCAACTCTGTGAGGCCAGGCTGGGATGCCACTACAGGGCCTGGGAGATTAATTTGTGTTCATTTTATTTGCTCTCATCTTCTCTCTCCTTTACCACTTCAGTGCTCATTTGGGGTCCTTTCTAGGGTGACCAACACAAGGCACACTCCTTGCCTCCTGGGAATTCTGTCACGTGGGGAGAAAGTCATGTGCAACATAGAAAGTCTGTGCAGGCATAGGTCAGAGCTGGAGCAAGTGGCAGGCTCCATGGGCCCCCCTCCCCCGGCTTCTCGCAAACTCTTCCTCCTTTCTGCTTCTTTGCCATTCAAATTGGGCAGGGCCAGATGTAGGGCTGGATGCGGCGGGCCCTGTGGATTGTAGGGAACTGTCTTTAGGACACATTGTTGGCAGTCCTCATTTTGTTGGACTCCTACCCAGTTGCCTCATGGGCTCTAGACAGCCAGGGTCGCTCTTCCAGACACTGTTTTGTTTTGTTTTTTTGACAGGCAGAGTGGACAGTGAGAGAGAGAGAGAAAGGTCTTCCTTTTGCCATTGGTTCACCCTCCAATGGCCGCCGCGGCCGGCGCACTGCGCTGATCCGAAGCCAGGAGCCAGGTGCTTCTCCTGGTTTCCCATGCGGGTGCAGGGCCCAAGCACTTGGGCCATCCTCCACTGCACTCCCTGGCCACAGCAGAGAGCTGGCCTGGAAGAGGGGCAACCGGGACAGAATCCGGCGCCCCGACTGGGACTAGAACCCGGTGTGCCAGCGCCGCAAGGTGGAGGATTAGCCTAGTGAGCCACGGCGCCGGCCACCAGACACTGTTTTGATTCATCTGAGACAGGGCACAGATATCAGTGTTTTGAAATGATTTCCACCTGATTTCAATGATCATGATGGAGAACTGCAAGTATGGCGATTAAGATGGAGATGGACTGCTTAGGGTGAATCTGTTGCTCACTAACTCTGTGACTGTGGCATAGTCCTCACCCTCTCTTCAATTCCCTTGTCTGGCAAAATGGGAATATTAGGGGGACCTATCTTAGTGCATTTTGTGAAACAATGAATGTATTTATCTGTGTCGTATCCATATATGTGCGTGTGCACATAGCTTCTGTAGCTTCCTGTATCTACTGACTTTAAAACGCCTCGCTCTGCTTGTCAGCCATATCTCCTACCATCACCTTCCCCATCCTACTTCTTAGCCCTATAGGACCAGTTTAGACGACACACATGTACTCTCCCACCCACCTCAGCAGTTTCCCCAACCCCTTAAAAGCATGCCTCTCCAGTGTCCCCCTGATGGACTTGGTTACATGAGCTGGGCATGTGTGCTGGTGCGGTGGTAGTGGACAGGGCCCACGTCTCCCCGCAGGTTGTGAAGTTATGCCGGGAGTGCCTGCAGAAGCAGGAGCCAGTGTTTGCCGACACCAACCTCTACACACTGCGGATGCTAAGCATTGTGTCTGAGGTCCTGTCCTACCTCCAGGCCTTTGGGGAGGCTGCGGACTACGCCAAGAGGATGGTGGATGGCTATATGTAAGTGACAACCCTGGGGTCCTGTGGAGTCTCCTGAAGGTGTGTGCATTCCAGAGATCACAAAAAGTGGATGACACACATGTTGCTAACCCTCCCTCCTGCACCCCCAGCAGGCATCAGTAATCAATAATGATTCTCTTTGTAACTGAGCCCTTTTATGGTGACCCTCTGAGCACAATATCCAGTCAGAGTTGGGATTTGGGATACAACCTATTTGTCACCCCTGTTCTTTGTCAAATTCCCCATCTCATCTACCACTCGGGTGGCATCTTACGCTTTTTGTCTTCTTACTTCTAATTCCAGCTTAATGAAAACCTTTCCTAACAATCAGCATAAGCAATCTTGCAAACTATCTTTTATTTTAAAAAACAGAAGATACACCTGCCATCCTTGCTTATAAATTGTAAAATGCGACTCCCTTGCCTTCCCTCTGCAAATAACCACTCTTGCCTTCTGTACCCATTTTGGCATGTGACTGAATTTCTGGCCAAATGAGTAAGTTGGCACAAGAAGGTTCATTTCTTGGGAGAGGCTGCTAGTCATAAAAAAAGCGCGGGTGGGCTGTACAATGTACTGAAAAGAGAACCCCTGCCAAGAGGTGTCATGGAGGTGAAAAATACAACACTGTCTCCCCCTTGAATGTCCCGTCACTCCCCAGGGAGGAGGCTGTGGCAGTCCTTCCTGAGAGCTTCCGGCTCCCTGTATCCAAGCCCAGAGGGCCATCCTGGCTCTGTTCTCCGAGAGGGCTTGGATTGGTGGCCCAGGTCTGAGTGCTAGCTCTCACAGCCTCATCGTGGGGGTGGGGAGGTGTTTGGCAAGTCTCTGCACCTGGTTTCCCTCTTGGCCAGCCACAGATGCCTTGTAGCACCAGTGGGAGAAGCAGAAGGACTTAACCCACAAGGGCACTATACCAGCTGTCCAATGACATACAATTGTAAAGATGGTTGCCATGATGGGTCTTGATTATTTGCCCTACAGGAAGCTCTACCACCCCAATAATGCCCAACTGGGCATGGCTGTGATGCGGGCAGGGCTGACCAACTGGCACGCTGGCAACATTGAAGTGGGGCACGGGATGATCTGCAAAGCCTACGCCATTCTCCTGGTGACACACGGACCCTCCCACCCCATCACCAAGGACTTAGAGGCAAGTAGAACCGAGGGCCCGGTGCTCCCTGCCTAGTCTGACCTCCCTGAAGATACCAGTCTGAGGTCAGGTAGACGCTGCTGCAGACAAGTCCAGAAACTGACATCTATCCCAGAGGGGACTCAGAACACTTCCGCCTGCTCCCCTCGTTGTACAACTGAGGAGACTGAGGCCTAGGGGTGGGGAGTCATCTGTCTGTGGTCACATGACTGGCTGATGGCAAAGCTGAGACTTGAACCCTTAGTCTGTGGCAACTTGATGGCCCAAGCCTGCCCAGAGAAAGCCCAACAGCGGTGAGTGTGTGTGTGTTCATGTGTACAGCCATCTGTCCTAGAAAGTGCTCTGTGCTACAGAGAGTGGAGTTTTGGATCAAAAGCTCTGGAATCACTCTCGGGATTAAATTCCAGAGTGGGAAGCTTTCTAGCTGTGTGAGTTTGTAAATATTGATTCTGTAGACCTCAGTCTGCACATCAGTAAAATGGGTGAAGAAGATAGCATTGCGGTGAGGGTTCAAGGAATTCGTGTGTAAAAGCCCTTAGCACGGCATCTGACAAGTGGGGTGATGGCAATGGCTGCTGGTTTCCTTTGTGCTTTGAAGGACTGGTTTGCTGGAGAGTGACAGGCAGTCCTCAGACGGTGCAGTCCAGGGACAGCTGACAGATTTTGTGTCATGCATTGGCTTGCAGAATGGCTGTAACAGGACTAGTGTGACATCAGCTGTGGCTGTCCCTTTACTAGCAGGTCATCAGTCTTCTTCCCTATAAAACGGGACCAAGCAAGGAACGGAAAGTGGAGGTAGCCACTCTGTCTTGCGTGCTGCTGGGTCAGGGCAGTCTTTGCTATCTTAGTCACTGGGGTACCCTCAGCACCCTCAGCGGCCTTTAGCAAGGATGTTCTGAACAGGTATATGGCAGAAGGAGAGCTTGCCTGAGTGTCACACTGCTCTCTCCCAGCCCACTGCAAGTTTCCCATTTCAAGGGTGAGAAAATTGAGGGCTAGGTCACTGGCCTGAGGTCTCATTAAACACAGGAGCCAGGGTTCAAATCCAGGTCCTCACACTTTCAGTTCCTGAGAACAAACTCCCTCTGCTGAGAACAATCCCTCCAGTCACTCAGGGATCTGACTCCCTCTCCCTAACACTCTGGGCCCCTGCCAGGGCATGAGGCCTCTGGTGCTTGAGTATGTGTGTGTCCTGGGGGAAGACTTGAATCTTGGTGCCTGAGAGCCACTCACCCCAAGGTCGGCCCAAGGCCACATGTCCTGGGGCCTTGCCACCTGTTTATGGTGTCTCTGTGTCCCACAGGCCATGCGGGTGCAGACGGAGATGGAGCTGCGCATGTTCCGCCAGAACGAGTTCATGTACTACAAGATGCGCGAGGCTGCCCTCAACAACCAGCCCATGCAGGTCATGGCCGAGCCCAGCAACGAGCCAGCCCCGGCTCTGTTCCATAAGAAGCAATAAGGACCCTCCAGGTTGAGGCTGGGGGGCAACATGGCTGGGGAACTGAGGAGCGATTCTGGAGGTGGTGGGTCTTTGGGAAGACCCTTGATGAAGAAGTCAGGGTGACATGCAATCTTCTTGCTGTGAGAGTGTCTTGTCTTGTGTTCCCATTGTCATTTTGGTTCAGTTCAATTCATTTCCATGTAATGTACCTCTCTCAATCCAGCCCAGCTCCTCCTACAGATATTCATTGGATGCTAGACCCTAACATCCAACAAAGGGTGCTCTGAATGTAGTGGGGTAGCGAGGCAAACTGTCAACAATGAAAGCACCAGGTAATAAATGCAGTGGCAAGTTATATTGGAGAGAGAGGGGCTGGCCAAGAATATGTGAGTCTGTTGTGTGCGTGTGAGTGGCGTGGAGTGGCGTGGAGAGGAAGACGTCAGAGCTGAGGATGGCAGGTGTGTGTGTGTCCTCACGCGGCTTCTCCCATGTGTGCAGGTGCCTCTCAGGCTGCTGGTCTTGCCCATGGTCTGAGATATTCAGGATTTTGCTGCCTACAATGGCAATGTCCAGTGTCCTCACGTTAGTGTGACATTATGAAGAAGTACTGTGTTTGGGCCAGTTGGGTTCTATTCAGAGAACCAAGACCTCTGCAGAGTGTTGCATATGCAGAAAGAGCCGAGGGCCTTGCCCAGAACACCTGAGGCCTGCATTCGAAGTCTGGGTTCCAAGTCTACTCCTAGAAGACAGAGAAAGGGGACACCTCCCTTCCTCACCCTCACGTGGATCCTTGTGACTCCCTGGGATGTGGACGACGTCTGAGAGTTCTCTGGCCGTGGGCCTAGTAGGGTTGCAGAGGTCTTTCCAGGGGTGAAGCTGGGCGGAAACACACGCACCTGCTGACCATGGCTCTAGAGGGTTGGCCTGTGGGGGTTTTATTGGGTGACATGGGCCTGGGTGTTGCTGGCCAGCTTGGGCTTCATCCCTGGCCCGTGGCAGCTCCATCCTCAGAACTGAATTGTTACTGCTTCCTTGCCTATGCGATTCTCACATATTAGATGTGACCAATTTATCCTCATTGCCTTGGGGACTCTTGTTGATGTTTTGGGGGGTCCTTGAGCCAGTCACTAGCACACAGCCTGGGACCACCACTGATCCCAGAGCTCCAAGTCGCATGATCCCATCTGGCCTCGTGTTTGTTATCGCTGCTGAAAATGTGTGTCCCTCCCTCCCTACCCTTGTGTCCCCAGAATGGCCCACCGCCTCCCTCTGCACCCTGCCCCGTGGCTGAAAACTCTTCCAGTGGGCCCCCTCTTGGCAGAATGCCTGTCCCTGACATTTGATTCTTCTGTGAGGTCACTCTCTAGAAGGTTTTACAGGAAGACTGGCAGTTCTAAGCGTCCTGATAGCCCTGGGTTCTCCCAGAAACTCACCTGGCACATTCACACAGTCACTTTCCACCCTCATGAAACACACCGCCCCTCCCCAGACCTCTCCTCTGTCATTGCTGTCTGTTAGTCCACTGCTCATCCCTCCCTACTTAGGGTCTTTTTCCCATCCCATCTTTCTACATTGTGTAAGGAACTGTTCTGTGTCTGTGCTTCTGCTCCCTTCCTCCCCCCTGAGCCCAGAGGAATGAGGGTCCCTCTCCCCATGCTCTGGGCCTCTTCTCCTGTGTCCTCAAAACCTTGCTCCGTCTCCTATTCCTCCTCTATCCCAGATCTCTGATGTTTGTCCTGCTGCTGGCCTTTGATGGAGTCAGTAAGCACACTGAGGACTCTGGGTGAACACCTTCACAGCTGAGGTTTTTTTTTCAAGATTTATTTATTTGAGAGTCAAAGTTACAGAGAGTGAGAGAGGCAGAGAGAGAGAGAGGTCTTCCATCTGCTGGTTCACTCCCCAAATGTCCGGGGCTGGGCTGATCTGAAGCCAGGAGCCAGGAGCTTCTTCTGGATCTCCCACATGGGTGCAGGGGCCCAAGGACGTGGGCCATCTTCTGCTGATTTCCCAGGCCATAGCAGAGAGCTGGATCGGAAGTGGAACAGCCAGGACTTGAACGAGCGCCCATACGCGATGCTGGTGCTGCAGGCAGAGGCTTAACCTACCAAGCTACAGCAGCCCCAGATGAGTATTTTCGTTAGTTATGTAATTATTCTGTGCCCTTCTTCACTTCTCATTTCTTCCTGAACCCATGGCACACAGGCTGCCACTCCTGCTCCTCCCCTAACTGACTCTTTCTGAGATGGACTCTGCTTGCCCCTTTTCAGTCCTGCCTTGCCACATCAACTGGCACCCTCAGCCCTCGATTTCTGTGACCCTACTTCCTTGGGATGGGCCTCTCCTATGGCTTCTCTGCTTCCTTCATGCACGCAGTTTCTCTACCTGCCTGTGATACATTGGCACCTCCTGGAGCTTTGCCCTTGATCCGCGCTCCTCTGACACTGCACACACTCTGCACACCTTAGGCTGGCCCTTGCTTGATGAGCACCTTGAAGCCATTGATCTCCAAATCTGTACTCCCCAACCTCGCACTTGAGCGCTAGCCTCACACCTTCCCAGGTGTTCTCCAGGCACATCAAACCCCTCATGTCCAAAGTGAAACTTTCTCTTCCCTTTCTCCTGTCCCCTGACATGTGGTTCTCCTCAGAACACCACCCGAGAACATCACCTCCATCAGATTGTGAGCTCCTGGAGGGCGGGAGCTGTGTGCCCCTGCTCATCTTTCTGTCCCCAGCACCCAGCACGGATGCTGGAACGTGGCAGGTGCTCCGTAGATGTGTGTTAACTGAATGGATGAATGATTTTCCTTATTTCAGCGCAGAGCCAGGAAACTGCGTATTTTGCGTTTTATGTTATAACAGTTAAAAAAGCCCATTAAACCCTCTGTGTTCCCAAGCAAATAGGTGTGTCTTCTTTCTTTCGGACAATCTGTTTAAAGCAGCACTATCCAGTGGAACCTACTGCGATGATGGAGAAGTATCATATCGGAGACATACAGTGCAATAGCCACTAACAACCTGTGACTATTGAGCACTTGAATGTAACTGTGGAACTGAATCTTTATTTTCTGTTAATTTATATTTAAATAGCCGATGTAACAGGTGCTTCTCAGATTGTAGTTTTAGAAAACTATTTTAATGTAGTTTCTTGGAGCCTAGATACTGAGAGAGACTGTTTAAGTTTATCTTTGTCCCAAAACTCCTATTTGTAGCTGGGTGGGTGGTCTTGGACTTGGTATCCTACCCATGCCTCAGTCTTTTATTTCTACCTGCTGCACAGGGTGCTGTGAGGACTAAATTTCTTAAAGGTAAAGCTCTTAAAGTGCCTGATCCAGCATAAATTCTCAGTGAGGGTTACTATTCTTACACTTTGGGCATCCAGCCATGCTCCTGCTGGGCTGACCTTTCTCCCACTTAGGAAGCGAAGGTGAGGGGTAGAGGGGGGCAGTGGTGTGCTGAGACCAGGTCCTGTTAGCTCCTGAGAGACGGCTTGCACATCTCATCAGCAGTCCATCAGCAGCTTGGGGTTACACCACGGCGATTGCCTTAACGTTAGGACACGTTCATTTGTAGTGTCGTCAATCAATAATGGGTTTGGCTACATGAGGGTAACAGAATGGATAGCTACAAAGAACATTAAAGAAATTTTTCCTTAAGCTGGCCTGCACTCTGCATTCTGAAGCCTCTACTCTCCAGGATCAGGCCAAGTAAGTAGAAGACCACTCTCCAGACTAAAGCACCTGCCCGGTGTACCACCAACGTATTGACAAGTGCATGTATACATCCAAGGCCAGAGGTAGCCATTGTTTGGGCAAATCACTCAGGGTTTATTTCCCTGAAGATTGCAAGGGGGGAATCAATACAGTGGGAGGACACAGCAGAGAGAGCAGCACTTCTGAGGGCAGCTGAGTGTAGGCACTCCTGGGTCTCACCTGCCATGAGAACGGAGCTGCCCTTTCCCCTCCTGGCCCAGCACGGCTTGCAGGTCTCCTGGTCTCACCCCGGCCAGGAGTAACCCGCCAGCCACAGAGAAGCACAGAGCGCAGCGTGAATACTAGCCGCTGTGGGGGTTCCACTGCCTCTGACATGGATTCAGGGCTCATTTATCAGCCTTGGCCTCCCTAGCTCATAAAATTTGGCCTGAGAACTACCTGGCGCAAGCCCAGGGCTCTAGTTCCCCAGATGTCTTGGGGAGTTTATATTTGTTTCCTATTTCTGCTAAATAAATTACCATGAACTCAGTGGCTTAAAGCAACACAGATTTATTATCTTACAGTTCTGGAAGTCATAAGTCCACGACGGATCTCACGAGGCCAAAGTCAAGGTGTTAGCAGGGCTGTGCGCCTTCTGGAGCCTCCAGAGGAGAACCTGCCTTCCTCGAGGATGCCTGCACACCTTGGCTTGCAGCCCCTAGCCAGCCATCCCACCGCTGTGACCCCTGCTCCTCTCAGCACGTCTTTGTGTGGCTCTCCCCTTGGGATTACATCAGCTCTGCTAGGGGCAGACGGAGCACCCTCCCCACTTCAAGATCCTTACCTAAATCACCTCTGCAAAAACCCCCTTTGCCATGTAAAGTAACACAGAAGCAGGGCTGGGAATTAGGACCTGGGCTTCTTTGGGGGCCGTGACTCTGCCGGTCACACACCCACAGCTGCAGCCCTTGGACTTGAACCTCTCCAGCAAGGCTTCAGATGGGTGACTCTTCCTTCCCACCACCTTGCTGACGGCCATGTCTAATTTTTCTTCTTTCAGTTCCTTCTTCATCAGATTCAGCGTTGTTTCTAAGCCCTCGCTTTGTGGATCGCAGCCCTTTCTCTCTGCTTCCCTTCTGCTCACCTGTGCCGGGCAGACGCAGTGAGTGTGCAATCCCTCTGTAGACCTGACGCCTTCCCATGTTGTTTTAGTCTGTAGGTAGGGATGTACAACTTGAAGCAGCACACAGGATTCTAGATGTGACATCTGTGTCTTTTGGAGGCACTTACACTTGGCCTTGTAGGACACTTGTTTACACTTGGTCAGTCACCTGGCTCATAAGACAATGTGCTTTTTGAGGGAAAGAATTTGGTCTGATAGTCAATGTTCAGATAGTTCGCTCTCAGTTGATTTGTAAGTGAACTCATTTCTCTCCAGATCTCTCACTCGTCCTCATCATCCACCTTGATGTTCCTGCTCCGATTTTCTCTCATTTACTCCAGATGTGGGCTTCTGGGGCCTGCCTTCTCCACTCAACCTCTCTTCCTGACTTGTGCTAAGAGCCCCAACCCTTTCTCAAGAGGTATCGCTGTGTACCATGAGGCTCTGTGGGGTGCTCAAGACAGGCTAGCGCAGGACCCAGCCTGAACCTGTCACAGCACTGTATTTCCTGACAGATGGGATGGCTCATGGGTCAATGGCATGCTGGGAAATATTTAACAATGGTAAGAAGGGCCCGTATTTGTAGCATTTGCTAGTTTCCGTGATGCAAACACTTCTATCGTGGCTGATGTCAAGTAGTACTTTGAGTGCCAGATTGGGCGTGAGGACTAGCCAGCTCCAGCACTTGGTACCTGTGTCCTGAGCCAGGCCATTGAACCCTTGCTGGAGGACCTGGCCCTTCTGAGCTGCTCTTCGCTGGGAATGCAAGCTCTCAGTTTGTGACCCCAGAGCTCTGGGCACTCGGACTTTCTGCCATGTGAAGTGGCCTGGGGGATCCTGGCTGGTAGCACTTGAGGGGAAAAAAGGAGCTGATAAGGAGAGAGGAATATTGACGTGGCTGTTTGGCTTTGGATCCAGCAGCTCCTTCCAGTTACATGAGCTAGTGGACCACACTCCCCGCTCTTTTCTATTTTGGCCTAACCCATTTAACAGGGGCTCCTTGTATTGTAGCTAGAGGACTTCTCACTGTGGTCCCACTTACATTCCTTCTCCACCTCTCTACTTTGTGCCCACAAACGCTGACCTCTGCTTTCTTGCTCAGCCAATGAAAAGCACAGGCAGGGGGTTTGACTGCAGAGGCCACCCATCTGCCTTGCTAGGGTTCAGCACCTGTGGGGTGGCCTCCTATGACCCCAGCTCACCGTGGGCTCCAGGAACACTGTCGCTGACATTGCCCCTTTGGGTCCATGCTGGTCATGGCTCCTGCAGTTGCCAGCCAGGGGCTTTGCCTGCCTTATGGCACCCTTTATCCTAACTCCACCTTTGTGGTTAGTCCTCTGATTAAATTCTTCGCAGGAGAACCCCTTCTGAGTGTGCCTTGTTTCCTGTAGATTCATCTGATTTGTCCATCTTGCTAACACACTTCCCACATTCGGTCACCAGGGCCTGTAGCCCTAATTTCTAAAGGCTTTGAAACTTTCTGCTTTGTTCCAGCCTCACATGCTCAATCTTGGCTCAGCTCCCCAATGCCTCTTGCCTGGGCCATTGCCAAATCCTCTTGATTGCTTCTCTGTATTCGGCCACAGCCCTTCTCTTGGTTCCTTGCAACTCTGGCCAAATGAGAATTAGTACTATGCTGCTCCCAGAGCTACAGATCCCTCAATGACTCCCCACTGTCTTCAGGATCAAGTTTATTGGCTAAAATAATCAGAATTTGGTTGAAAATAGAAGCTAAAGTTTAATCAGGTAGTCAAACTGGGGATTTCAACCCAGAAACAGCCAGTCAGTTGCCTGGGCTGTGTTTCTGTAAACCTGCATTGGATTGTAGGTTTTACGTCCTTCTTATAGTTTGGGGACATGCATAGAGTCAGGTTTAAGCACTACAGGTCTACGTTTGCTTATCAATTGCACTGAGAATCAGAGAAGACTTTATTAAAAATCAAAGAGCACATGGTAATAGCCAATAGACTTGCTTATTGATTAAGGAGGTTACGTCCCCACACTCCATATGTATATTCAGGAAAAGACAAACAATCATGACTTTAGTCACTCTCCTTATAATGGCCCTAAAACATAAAGCTCACTCCTCCTTCTTCAATTTTTTTTAAAGATTTATTTATTTACTTGAAAGGCAGATTACAGAGAGAGAAGAGATAAAGATGTTCCGTCTGCTGGTTCCCTCCTCAAATGGCTGCGATGGCCAGGGTTGGGCCAGGCTGAAGTCAGGAACCAAGAGTTCTTCTGAGTCTCCCTTGAATCTTGGAAGGGGCCCAGGCACTTGGATCATCTTGTGCTGCTTTCCCAGGGCATTAGCAGGGAGCTGGACTGGAAGTGGAGCAGCTGGAACATGAACCAGCGCCCCTATGGGATGCTGGCATCCCAGGCAGTAGGTTAGCCTGTTATACCACAATGCTGGTTCCAGCACACTCCTTAAGGTGCAGTAGACGTTTACTTGAGCAAAGTTGAAATTGGTTAAAAGGTCACGTGACTTAGGAACTAGCTGGAGGGCATCTTCACAGCACACAGCACAAGTTCAAAATCCTTGCCAGAGTTCAAGGCTATTCATGGTTGAGATTCTGTGTCTGTTCTCTCACCAAGACCCATTCATACCACACCTCTCACCAGGCAGACTCATGGGTGCTTTCTGACCTCCTTGGAGATGTTTTCCTAGGCGTCACCCGCACCCTTTCTGCAGCAGGGTGTGGACAGCCCCAAGGACACTGTAGTTAGGGGTAGTGGGTTGGCCTGTCCCCAACAATAAGCCCCCGAAGGATCAATGTGTCCTTACAGCTCCATATGATGCAGCTTGACTTTGACCGAATGAAGTTAGCCTGTGCAAACAAGATACATTTAGTTCTGTGTCGCCAGGTTTTTAAAGTAAGAAATAGTAGAAAACTGTGGAATGGTCAACCTGTATAGAAAAATATGGGTCAAGTATTAGGATTTCCTTCTACCCAAAGTCACTTTTTTTCAAACCCTAATGGCAGTCTGTTTTAAAAAATTGTGTGGATATATGTCTGGGGGAAGTGTTGTGGCACAGTGAGTTA